TGGGTGGGTAGATGTGTAGGTGGGTGAATGGGTGGATGGATGGATAAATGGATGGATGGATGATGGATGGATGGATAAATGAGTAAGATGGGGAGATGAACAAATGGAGAGGTGGATGAATAGATGGGTGGGGTTATAACTGGAGTATGTTATTAAAATGAGTAGCTGCAGAAGACAAATAGAGACTGGTTTGAAAATACAGGTAGAGAGGTTCATCCAAGTCAGGAAGAAAGTAAGAGAAGGTGGAGATACAGGGATACCGAAGTAGTCGAAGGATAGGTGAGGGAACACAGCAAGGTGACCTGGTCTCATTCTTACACAGGAGTCCGGGGTGCCTGAAAGTGTGGGGCATGGCCCTGGAGTCAGGTCTTGAGGCACGTGATAAGTGTGAAGCCACCTATGGGGAAGTTCTTTAAAAAGCCAACAGCAGATGAATTTGAGGGATGCAGAGGGCACCGGTTAATCTTTTCCTTTACTGATTAAAGAAAAAAAAAGGAACAAGCATTTTATAACACCTGTGACTCTGGTTTGCAGATGAAGTACAACTTGCCCTCCTGGTGCGATCGAGTCCTCTGGAAGTCTTATCCCCTGGTGCATGTGGTGTGTCAGTCCTACGGTGAGTTGGACCACAGGGTGATGGCAGACCACGTTCAAAGAACAGCACTGAGTTGGGAGGTACAACTGCCCTGAAACCTAAGGGCTTCAATCTGTTCATCTGAAAAATGGGAGAATTCTCTGCAACCCTAGCCAGGTGACCTAGAAGAGTTGATGCATCCCTATCGGTCCTGGGCTGCAATGTAATAAATAGTTACATATTGGGAGGAATTTGAATCATGGAGGACTTTTAAAAAGAAATTCAGTTTTATTTATTTTGAAAAGAGCTTATTACCTCTGAACTATATAAAAGTGTTTTTGTAGGTCAGAAATGGTCAATTATTGGAAATTCACATGGCTCAACCTAATACATGTCAAAAGTGAAAAATATATATGTATGAGATTTAAAGCTAAATTGGGCTGAGGTGAGAGGATTGCCTGAGCCCAGAGGTTTGAAACCAGCCTGGGCAACTTGGTGAGAACTCGTCTCTACAATATATCAAAAAATTAGCCAGGCATGGTAGCACGTACCTGTAGTTCCGGCTACTTGGAAGGCTGAAGCAGAAGGATCACCTGAGCCCAGTGGGTCGACGCTGGGGTGGCCATGAACATGCCACTGCACTCCAGCATGTGCAACAGAGTGAGACTCTGACTCAAAAAAAAAAAAGGTAAATTGAGTTAAATTGATGAAAAAGGTAAAACATACAATATTAAAATAAGTAATGATAACATAATATATTGAAACAATTAAGAAATAAGTGTTGACCCTTGAAGTTTAAGGTATCCTGAAGAAGTTCTTAATTGCTTGAGTACTTATTCTTAAAGGCTACTGATTGGTTCCCATTACTTACAAATTGATACCTTAAAGATCCTCAGAGCAGAATTTCTATGAACACTTCACTGATTGAGAATTTGGGTATTTTTAAAACATTGCTGTTTCCCAGACAGTGGCACCCAATGGAGGACCATCCTAGTCCCCAGGGTGTCCCTTACAGGAGTAAGTGGCAGATAAGCCAGGGGCCACTGCAGGGCAGCTCATGACCACATGCCTATCCAACTGGTCCAACCCCAGCCCCTCAGAGAAAGGAGAGGAGCAGGGAGAATTTGCCCAATGGCCACCTTTGTGGTTCCCACCCTCTCTGGGAACTGACAATATGGTCCCACAAATTTAACTCCAGTCCCACAAGTTGAAGTCATTTCCATTCCTTTCTTCGGTACATGTCTTCTACTGCCCAGAAGAGTTCAGAACAGCTGCCCTGGCATAGGTTAACACATGCAGCCTGCATTCCTTGAGCTCCTGAGCTGTCTTCCAGAAGTGACTTCACTAGACAAACTTCACACAATACCTTCACATGTGCGGAAAGGCGACCCACCCTCACAGCCACAGCCAAGAAATCGTTCTGCCTCCAAAACTTCAAAGGGCCAATGTCCTACCCTCTGCCTGCAGCCTCCACATTTGTGTAGTCCCTCCTCTTCCTCCTCTGCACCTCTGACTCTCCAGGCCTATAACTCCTTCCTAGCTGCATTCAGGGTCAGCCATAACAACACACTCTTTCCCACATCCTGCAACTCCGAGAGTCTGGCCAATTCTTGCCTCTAGGAAGACTCAACCATCTGCCTTCTTCCAGCCTCGACAGAAAGTCAGGAGATAGTAGAGGCTTATAGAATTACCTCTTACTGTTTTGAATTTAAACTTGACATTCAAAACTGCTTAACAGTGAAGATTTCAGAGGAAAGGGAAGAAGAATAGCCTGGGAATGAGGAGCGAGAGGACACATATTCCCCACCTCTGGGCCAAGTGTATGAGGGATAGAGTGGAAAATGAGCCCTCATCTGAGAGGCAGCAATGTCTTTGGGGAGGCAAGGTTTGGGATGTGAGGGAAGTTTGAAGACATGGTGAATTTCACTAATGATATTTCATTGTATGCCAGAGGGTACAATAGAAGGGTTTAATTATCGAGTGGGTGGGGAGCAAGCAAGAAGTTGGGAAAGAAAAGGAAATGGGGGTGTCCTGGAAACCTGGGTTTTCTTATGACAGTTAACATACCCACATGTGTCAGCTCTCTGTTGCTGCATAACAAGGTACCCCAAAATTCAGTGGCTTAACACAACCATTTATTTGCTCTCAATTCTGTGACCTGAGTGAATTTGGACTGCTCATCTCTGCTCTGTTTGGTGTCATCTGGGCACACTCAGGTAGGAGCCCACTCAGATCTAGGGTTGGCCAATTGTAGGCAAGGCCAAGGGTGGTGACTCATCACCCAGTAGCTTAGTGCAGGATTCTTCATTTCCTGGTCTTAGGGCTCCCAGCTGCAAGTGTCACCAATGAAAACTCTTTTTAAGGCTCTGTTTACCTCATGTTTACTAATTCTCCATTAGCCAAGGGAGGTCACATGGCCAAGCCCAGATTCTGTAGGAGGGGTCCACAGAGGGTAGGGTTACTGGAAGGCCACCCATTGAGGGCCACCCATCTAATAGTCCACCTCCCAGGTTTAAGGGCACATTACAGTGCTGTTGCTATTATGTTCAATACATATCTAAAATATTTTAAGAATGTTTTAAAAACCTGCTTGTCAACACTTTAACTTCTCCCCGGAACACCCTCTCCTCCATTGCCTCCACAAACTTGTAGCCCTACACTCAGCCTGACTCTCCAATCTCCATCTTCACACAACACTGAACCTCCCTGACTTCTTTGTGCCTGTGTACAAATAGTTTTAGACTGATGCCTTCTTCCCTCCTGTCTCAGAGAAGGGATGTCCTCCTCTTTCTTTCCTAGCTAACCTTTTTTGTCTGGACCATTGATTCCATCCCCTCCTCATCCAGTGCCTGTGTGCATCTCCATTCTATCTCATTGTTTCACTTTGTTTTTCCTGTGATTCTTAGCAAATGAGAATTGCTTTCATGTTAATTAGCCATCTATATTTCCTTGGTGAATTTTTTGCTCATATCCTTTGGTTGGTTGAGAAGTGGGGTGTTTACCTTTTTTTTACTGACTTGTAAAAAGTTTTATAGAAAAGGATATCAGCCAGGCTCGGTGGCTCAGCCTGTAATCCCACGCTTTGGGAGGCTGAGGTGAGTGGATTGCCTGA